CAGGAGGCAACCAATCGATGTTTCTCTCTCTCCCCCTTCCCCCTTCCACTCTCTCGGAAAAAAATATCCTCAGGTGAAGATTAAAACAACAACAAAGAGTGGAAAAAGAACGGCTTGGGATGCCCCGAGGCCGCACAGCTGCTGCCTGAGGCTGCCTTCCCGTCAAACCCATTTCCCTGAGCACCTTCATCGGATGTTTGTGTGCATTACGGATGGAACTGGGCAGCCTGCGGCCGTCCATGCCATCCATCGGACTTCAGGGAGAGAAACAAAAGGTCACTCTGCCCAGGTCGTCGACCAAACAGCGGGCACTCAGCCAGTGGCTGATCAAGCCGCGCTGGTGCCGCAGGGCCTGGGCCACAGTTCCATTCTCTCTGGGCTTCAGGCCCGCCCTGCTGCTCGGCCTCCCTCTGCCTTTCGCTACCCTGATTGACCAAGCCCTCTTCCATTGGACCGGCGACCAGGGCCGCAGGACACGGGGGTAACGGGGGGTTTTTGCAGTTGGTTTCCACAATAGGGCTCACCCTGCTGTGTAACAGAGCAGGAGGTGCCGGCTGGGCAGGATTTCATCTCCAGGGGTGTCCATCCTCCGTCGCGCCAGCTCGCTGTGCCATGCCGCCTACGCGGGGCCTGGAGGAGCACATCACCTGCTCCTTCCCTCCATCCTGGGTGCTGGGCACCCTGGACCGCTCAGGCCTGGGGAATGTGTGGTCACGTGTCACACTCAGAGGCCTGAGCCCGCTGAAATCTAAGAAGGTAACACCTGGACTCCAGGGACAGACAAGCTGCGTCTGTCTTTCTGATTTAAAAGCCGGGGATAAACCCCCCTGCTCACGGCTCTGCCGCCGCCCAGGTCCTAATAAGAACAAGGGCCCTTGTCCAATTTATTTTCTGCAAAGAATCAGAGCAAGAAAATGGTTTTTCTCTCAAATCTCCAATTAGACAACATCCTGCTCTCTTGAATAAACCAGAGGTGACGTGTCCTGGGTTTATGTTGATGATGCTCCGGAATCATTTCATCCCAAGGGACTTATTTCCTGCTTTATTGCAGAATACTGCCTTCTGTGACATCAACCTCCACGTCAAGGCGTGCCCGGAAACAGTCAGTAATAAACCTGGTGAAATCCGTGCCAGGAGAATTCTAAGAACCTGACACTCAAGAAATAAAACTGAATAATGCTATTAAAAGTCCCTTCTCAAGTAAAAGATTTAAAAACTTGTGCAGAAATAGAATTTCCAAAGACTGAATCGAGTCAGCATTCCTTGGACCTGGTTCTGGGTGGAATACGCATATGACATCATTTGCATACATTAACATTCATGAATCCCCATCACATATTTCATGAGGGTTAATATTTTTATATATATGAAAGCAATGCTTATGATTTTAAAAACTGAAAGGGTATAATGAACAGTGAAACGCCTCCAGGCCGGCCCCCCACCCAGGCCACTCCCCCAGAGGAAATCCTATTATGGCCACTGAGGTCCTAGCAGGACAAGGTAAATCTGTGCCTCCCTCTGCCGGGCAGCAGGTCACCTGTCCCGCCCCACCCCTACCCGCTGCTGAGAGCACGCCTGGATGAGGCTTTCCATGGACCTGTCCCGGTGGGCATGGGCTGACCTCCTTTCCATCAGAGGCTCCGCGGCGCATGGACCCACCGTCCTACTTCACTGGCCCCCTCATGTTGGTTGTTTTGGGGTTTTTTGCTTTGATAAACGAAGAACAGTCTTTGTAGAGATCCACCTGCACGGAGTGTGAGCAGGACCCCAGGGTCAATTCCTCACAGTGTGGTTGAGCACTCACAGGCAGGGCAGGGTGCACCAGCGGCCCCACCCGGGACCGTCAGGCTTCTCCAGCGGAACCCAACCTGTGCCTGTTGCCACTGGTGTTTTCAACTACGAGCATCATCAACTCCTTAAAGGAACACAGGTGAGTCCTTCCCTTATTTTGAAATTTAGCCATTAAACTGGTGAACGCACGTGAAATCTCAGAGTGGGGAAAGCTACCCTGGGCCTTACCCCAAAGCCAGAAACCACAAAAGAAAACTTGATAGATTTGGCTACGTAACAAATTTTAAAATTGTACATCGCAAAGAAAACAAGCAAAAAGCTAAATCCCAAGTGGAAAGAAAAATGAGCTGAAAAATAAATAGTTAGTACACAAGTACGTGGTAGAGACAGGATGAAATCCCTAACTGAAAAAGCTCTAAGATAAGAAAAAGACACAACCCTGGGCAGTGTGGCTCAGTAGTTAAGAGCGTTGGCCCAGGCATTAAAGCGCCATGGAGTCCATTCCCGGTCAAGGGCATGTGCCTGGGTGTGGGAGGCAACCAATCAATGTTTCTCTCTCTCTCCCCCTCCCTCCTTTCCACTCTCTCTAAAAAAATAAATGTCAATGGAAAAATATCCTCAGGTAAGGATTAACAACAAAAACAAAAAAAGGAAAAGACACAGAGCCCAAAAGAAAAAGAAAAATGCACAAATAACACACACAGGCAATTTTCCAAACGGTCAATAATGAAATGAAAAGATGTTCGGCATCACCAGCAGTCAGAGAAATTAAAAGTAAAGTGATGGAAAGGCTGTTTTACCTATGAGGCTGCCCGAGACGGAATGGAAAGCCCAGTCCAGGCAGCTCCCCCTGCGTGGCCAGGCATTGCTAGAGGGCATTTTGGCAAAATGCATCCTAGTCCTTGGCCCCAGGTGTCTCTTCCAGGCATTTACCCTGAGGACATAGCCACTTCGGAGGACATATCATCAAAGGTCACCGCAGCACTACTTAAAAACCATGAAAGCACATGCCAAAATATTTATAGTCCGTATTTCTGGGTTGTTTGGGGATTAATTAGATACATTTTCCCAAATTTTTGGTAATGAATTATATTATTATAATGAGAAAATATTGTTTATTAAAACAATTCACTGAAGCATTAAAACCATGTTTAATGAGTTTCTTGACAATTGGCCCCCAAATTCCCCAGACTGGTTAAGACTAGAAATATCCCCTTTCTCGTGCCCTATAAGAAAAGTCTCTGGTGGGTTTTTTTGTTTTTTAATCCTCACTTGAGGATATTTTTTCCATTGCTTTTTCAGAGAGTGGGAAGGAGGGAGAGGGGGTGAGAGAGAAACATTGATGTGAGAGAGACTACATCCACTGATTGCCTTCTGCACATGCCCTGATCTGGGGCGGGGATAGAACCCTCCACCCTTGGGTGCTCCGGCAGACGCTCTAACCACTTAGCTACATTGGCCAGGGCACCTCTGGTTTTTTATTTTATTAAGCCTCTGGTATTTTCAAGACAGGAAATGAAAGCTCAGTTTATCCCCAAATCCATCTGTGTTGGACCGTGGAGGCCGGTGGGCAGGGACAGACAGATGGACAAAGCTGGTGTCTTACTCTTGATCCAACCCTTCCACCGGTAGAGGTTTATCACCACCACCACCCCTGGGCCCTAGAACCCTGAGCAGCACCTGCAACACCATAGGCCTTGGGAGGAGATCTCTGGGTGGATTGAGAAATAAAACTGGAGCATTCTGAGTCTCTCGTTCAGTAAGAGACCAGAAACAGAACCTGATTTCGGTCCAGGGTGGGTCCCCAAGTGCTCCCCTCCCTCTTCCCAAACAGGCCCAGTTGTCCAGGACAGGAGTGATGTTGCAACCAGGCTGCAAGTATAAATGGGGAGCCAGTCACCCAATCCCCTGCCCCCACTCCAGCGCCCACATACTCTCAGGGGCCCGAAGACCAATTTTTGAGCGACTGAGCGAAGCTCTCCCAAGTCAAGTTCTGGACTTCTATTAAACACAGGGCCAGCTGGAACCCTGCCCACCCTGGGTCACGGTGGAGGCCTGGGCAGTTGCCTGGAAGGAAAGCTGGCCCAGCAGCACGCAGCTGGGGAAACCTGGGGGGGACAGAGGGACCAGCTACTCGCAGGGCTGGGAGTCCGGGCTCACTCTGCTCTGTGCAGGGAACTTCACCCGGGAGGGAGGCGATGCAGGCACGGTGTGGGGCACACAGGGGACGCTGGACATGCAGGACCTTCTAGGGGTGCGGCAGCTTGTAACCACAGTCACGACCTCCAGAGTAAAATCGCCACCAGCTCGCCCGCCTGGCGCCCCTCCAGCCCCACGCCCCCCTCTGCAGGGCGGGCCTTCGCGGGCCCCCGCACTCAGCGTG